TATCCCGCGAAATTTTCTGCCTGTGTTATTTTAGACTTTGTTTTTTTCTATACTTAACCTTCGTTTTAACTTTCGTAGGTCATCCATCTCTAGTGATTCTTTCTTTCTTCTTTTACTCTGTCACTTATCTCTTTCTCTCTCGTCTCTCTTTCACTCTCTCCTTTTCCCTCTCTTCTCATTCTCACCTCTCACTCACTCTCTTTCTCTCTCTCCCTCCTTCACTCAGCCTCACTCTTACTCTCATTCTTACTCACTCACTCTCTTCCCTCCCTCCCTCTCTCTTTCTCTCTGTTCTTTCTTTCTTTTCTCTCTCTCTCTCTCTCTCTCTCTCTCTCTCTCTCTCTCTCTCTCCCTCCCTCCTCTCTTCTCTCTCTCTCTCTCTCTCTCTTTGTATGTGTGTATGGTACAAATGTTGAGTGTGTGTCTTAGGCAAGGAAATCACTATCTACACACACACACAAAAAAAAAAAAAAATGATTCAAGAGCAAAAACCTTATCTCTATTGAGAACAACAATTCAGGTGTAACGAGAAGGGAGACAGATAGATAGTAAATGTAAGAACTTCGGAGCATCATCATGTCATCGTATTCAAAGTCTTCAAAAGAAAAAAAATGAAGATTTGTTTAAGATCCTATTGTTTCATCTTTCGGAAGATATAACATCTCCTCACAGCCATCGACCCAATTCAACTTACTTGAAAGGAATGTACTACCCTTTAACTTCCTATTCATGACTTATCAGTCATTATCTCAAGACAGTTCATGCTTTTTCTCTTTCGCGTTTGCTTATGGTAGTTATTCAATGTTATACGCTAGTAGTAAAAGGCAAAACATTTAACCACGTTGACAAAATGGTAGAATCATGGCAATATATGCATGTATACATAAACATTCATATATATATATATTATATATATATATATATATATATATATATATATGAAATGCATCTATATGAATATAAAATATATATATATATATATAAAATATATGTCAGCAGATAATGTATATATATAAATATTTGTATATATATATTCATATATTTATGTATACACACACCAATATATATATATATTATATATATATATATATATATATATATATATAACATATGTATGTATATTATATAAATTATGTGTGTGTGTGTGTGTGTATTTTTTTTACACATTAACGCATACATATGCATGCATGCACATTTCTTATTTTCCCGCCATACTTGTACACCAAGAGTATACAAGTATACTTGTATACTTTGCTACATAGTGGTGTGTAGAAGTGAGATCCGGGTGCAATTTACCCTAATTACGGAAGGGGGGGGAGGGGGAGAGGTAAGGGAACCATCCACAGTAGGTCACGTGATCAGTCTCACGTCTACTCCTTCGGTCGGGTAAGACGTACCGTACCTCCTGTTGCTTCATTAAAGATTGGTCTTTATGTACTGGGTTGTTAAGTCCGGGGATGAATTTTCGGATTAGTTGTAACAAGGCCAAAGGTATTCCACAACAGATTATTAGACTGCTAATACAAATTTCTAAGTCCCATTTTATTATACTACCTTGTTACCATGGATACCCAAATACCAAGGTAACGAAAGGAACCTTCTTGGTAAGACCACTCTACCAACACCCGGCCTTATTAATTGCAGAAAGTTGAGCAATAAAAATGAAGGTTGATTAGGCAATATGGACAATCAATTGCATTCGTCAAGAGGCATTAGCTGACGAATCCCACTTGGCCATGACTGATCAGTTTAGTCGTTCCGGGAGATGACTTAGGTTCAGTGACTAAATGCATAGGCTTCCTTGCGATCCAGTGGCCTCGTTAATTCCGGGGGGGGGGGGGGGTGGCGGGGTGGGCATCCAGTCAGAAAGGGAAATAAGATGATGATTTTGAAATTTGTATCTAAATCGAATAAAGTTTTTATTTTCAAGTTTAATCTGTGTTTACATATTCGAAATATCTCCCCTTTATCCTAATATTTCTCAGTACTAGACCTTATAGTTGAATCTTTGGACCATGCAGTCAAGGAGTTAGCATGGCATGGGGGGCTTTGAATTAGCTTCGGAAATCTGAGTATGCTCGATGATGGCAACTTACGCGAAATCCCTTTTGTTGGACGAGTGGTACGACGCAAGGGTCTGGAATAAGGCTCACTAGCTGGAACCATGAATAATAATAATAATTAATATAATAATAAAATCCTGGTATCTATACTTAGTTCTTATTTTTTGCTGCTAGCCATTTTCGACACAGCCACTCGTAAGGTACGACGAACTATCTGTAATATGTAGATACATGTGTATGTATGTATACAAAGGTAGTAGAAATTATTTTAAAAACACATATGCATCCATACTTACACACACACACAACAGCACATACACACACACTCACACGGGGACACACACCACATATACACTCACACACATCACACACTTAGAAGACCCACACACAGCCACACAAACACACTCACAAAAAAGGCAATCCACTTCGTATCATGT